AAAAAAAAAATGTTACAATGAAAAGTTGTAGGGTTTCAAAAGGTCTGTTTAATATTTTTTTTTTTTTAAATGCGTCCTTGACGAGCTATTTGACCGTTTCTATACTTTCAAAGAACCCTGTAAGAAACGGTATTAGACAATACGTCGTTTCGATCAGTCGTTAAAGAACCATTACGTTTGGTACCGTCCCCATTACATTCCGGTTCTCTCTTCTACAATCTCGTACTTATTATTGATGCCATCAAACATTGATTTTCTATGCATGGTCAAGTATTGCGCGCTAAACCGCGTAAATATTAACGAAGCTTATGCGAATCGTAATAAAGAGCAAACGAGCGGACAGGCAAATTACTTCGGCTCGCTTCGGATGGCTCGCTTTTATGTCACGAGCTAGAAATGTCTTCCACGCTTTTGGCTTACCTAATGCAAGCGCAACCGAGACGAGCTATACTCTCCGTAGGCTGTACCACGCATTCCGCCATTACTAGCAAAAGCTGTTTCAACATCAGCGTCGTGGCTGATAAATAGGCATCGTTTCTGACGACGTCTGGACCTGAAGAAAGATTACACAAATGGAACGATTGACAATTACAGTTTCTTGCATACTTTCGTCTTTTTTTCTCTTTTCTCGTATTACCTTGTAAATGTGTCAAATAGTCAACCACGAGATCCGTCGTGAGACCACAACATTGTTTAAAATTGGGCGCAAAATTGTCCCATCCGCGGAAGATCTTGGATGTTTTCCTCAGCCAATTTTGTACCATAGGCAACAGCAAATGATTAACGCAGTAGAGTCCAAAGGCCGATCCAGGTACATTCAGGATATCGCGCAAAAGGTGAAACAAGGTCTCCAGAGTGTGCGGTTGATAACGCTTCGGACATATCATTGTTGCACTCGCCAGACCTTCGATAAGAATGTACCAGACTCTAAGAATACCACTAGGTTTGTCCATGCTCTGCAATGTAGCGATAGGATGGGCGTCCTTATCGATCAACGGCGTCAGAGCGTCGTATGATTTTTCTGGCATGACTTCCTGCATCGACTCGATATGCTTATCGAATCTGGTCAGTTCGAGATTTGGAATGATCGGATCCACGTATTGTGGGATCGTAGAGACTTGAATCCTTTGAGCGGAATGGAAGATCGGGCAGGCCGGCATTCGGTACATCGACGATAGAATATCGCTGCAACTTAACAGATACTTCAAACTTTCAACGCAGAGCCTCATTCTTCGCAATTCTGCGCTATCAATACTTTCAGTCTCTTCAGATTGAGCTTCGTTGTCGCCGATACCTCTCACGTGTTTTAGCAGACACAGGATACAATCCAGAGCGGCATTAGCGAAGACTAACGTGTTGTCTGTTGAAAGGAAGACTCTAAAAACTTCTAACAAAGGCGCTGATTCCACAGAATCTGAATTGTTCACCGATGCCACGCGGAGAGCGCCGAAAAGCGGACGCCAACCCGAACGTATTTCGGTACGATTTGTTTCGACAAACTCGCAGATGCAGCTAACAATCTGAAAAAAAGAATAATAGTTTTTAATCCGAATTTAAAAAACAAATTTTTACATAATTGCAAACGGCCGCTCACTTGATCCTGCACGTCGCTATCGCAGAGCTCTAGACATAAAAGGTTTTCAAAAGGTTTGAAGAGCGCCTCGTTGAAATGAAAGTGCGGAAGCTCTACTTGTTCGTTCAACAAGGCCGCCATGGAGTCATGAATGCATTGAACGGCTTTCTTCGAAATACTGCGATCTTCGTGACAAGCTGCCTCCATGAAATGTGGTCCCAAAATAGTCCATACCTGAAAAATTATTCTTGCGTTATATAAATTATAATTGTAAATTATTACAATATATATAACTTAAATATTATTTCTTTTACCCCCATTATATGAATCAAAGGCCTGCCACTTTTCACACATTTCAGCATAACTTCGCCTAATCGAGCCAGCAGCAATACATTCATCTCGTTCTCTCTCGGCTTACTTCGTCTCCACCAAAATCTTTTATTGTCTTTGCAGCCGTCAGGGGTCTTGAATAATTGCGCTTTGCTGGCTTTACAAAGAGCCATGAGAAACGAGCAAAGCGCTCTGAGATTTAGTTTAAGCGCTGCGTCCTCGAAAAGTCTATCGACCTGTTGCGACAACACGCAAATAATCTTTGCAGCATAGTCCGCTGGTAGAATGCCATTAAATTGGCTATCGGCATTCGATTCTTGAATAATTTCCGGAATCGTGTCTGAGCTGGGATTTTGCGTATAAGGACTTGAAAGAAAACTATAAACGTCCACGCTATAAAAAAATAATAATAACAAATTAAAGATACAAAGATATTAGAATTCTTGTGTTCAATAATATGTTTATATTAAATCAATACAATTAATAAGAGAATTTTTAAAAATTATATCAATTAATTAAAGTATTACAACACATAGAAATAAATCATACCAAGATTCCTCATCATCAACAATGTTGAAATTTAATCGAAGTCTGTCTTGACCATTCTTAGCATCACTATTCGCAACGTCTTTCTTCTCTTTTTTCTGAGAGGCCTTGGGTAACGACGGATTTTGGTTTCTTCCAAAGAAGTCATGTTCCAATTTACTCACATACAGACAACACCTTTTTTTTCAAATGCATCAATCTTTTTAATATGCGCGAGAAAAAATTTATTGTTGTATTTTTAATTGTACTTACGTAAAAACATGTGGCCAGCAATCACTACCATGACTACCAAGTTCAAGACCTCTACCTAGAAGCACATCCATACTGAGTGCATGAGACGTATGAAGATTCGTCGCTTTATTTTGCAATTTAAGTCGAAGAACATCCTTTTTACGAGTAATCTTCGAAATGGATTGTTCTGTACAAGCAGCTTTTGCGAGAAGAGCAAAAATGGAGCCACAACGATTCTGTAAACCTATATAAATAAAGGATAATAAAATAAGGAGATAAATAAAACAATTTTATTAAAAGTCTAATTAAAAAAAGAGAGAAAAATATATATACCAAGTACGTTGCTCAATGTGGCAGCCTTGTGAAGACCTTCGAGCGCTAAGACAACCGTGTCTCTGACTCCTCTCCTACCACCGTCTCTGTTCAAGATACCTTTATTGGTTTCCTCTTTAGGAGGATTCAGCCCCGTTGTGAGAACGGTCATCATGCTGCCCCAACAACAAGTTAACACTCTTCGAGAGAGTTTCGCACCAGCCTCCGCTTCCGGAGTTGGTTCACTTCGAGAAAGTTGGGCTCGTTCCAATCTTATGTAATCAGAAAGCAATTGCCCGCCTCTATGACTGCCGGGTATACCATCCACGTCTATAAATCGCATAAAAGAATTTCATCAGTTTAAATTTATCAAAGTTACAATTTAGATATTATAAAAAATATAATTTTGTTAAGATATTTATTCTACTGAAATACTAATTTCATGCGATATACCTGTGAGAACATTAACTAATGCATTATTTTCTGTAGAGCTAGGATTGTAACCACATTTCTCAAGTAAGTTGCACGCGAGTACTTGTTGATATAATTCAGAAAGCCATGTAGCTGACAGATAAACCAGCACACCCGATCCATGTACCTCTTCCACAAATCGTTCCTTAAAAATAAAACTAATAAAAATAAACGCAACAAATGTAAAAAGAATTAAAATATTTGCATTAAGACAAACCTCGCTGATTGGTATTTGACGACCTTCCTCGTGATAATAATTTATTTGGATTAATTTCAGATTGAGAAGCAATGCTGCGTATGTAGCCAAATAAATCCCATCAGCATTCATGATTGTGATTAATGCACATGAATCCGTGCTAGTGTCAGTTTGTTCCTGTATCTTCTGTTGAGCTACAAATACCTCTAAAAAATATATTAAATATATAAATGTTTTTATTAACAAAAAATTTTATTATTATCATATTAATGCAATTTTGCATATTATCTTAAAAATTTTATCAACAGTGGTTATATACCTTGACAGTATTCAGAAGCAAAGTTTTGCAATGCCTCATCCACCTCTATGTTACTTCGCAAAGCGAGCACCATCGGTACAAGATCGGATCTAAGTGTTCTTACAAATCGTCTGGCATTGTGTCTTTCCACATCCACGTTGCATTCGTCGGCTACTTGTCGACCCACATGAAGACATTTGGGTAATTTTTTCAATCTTAGTCTTTCATTTTCGTTCTCCGCGGTACAATCGTTGTCCTCGAGACTATTTTCTTCCTGAACTTCGTCCGATTCATTTTGCGGACCTTCAGTATCCGTCGAATCACCGTCTTCTGATGGTCCATGCCCGGATGAGTCTGAATCCGAGCTTATACCTTTTTTCATTAATTCCAATTGTTCTCTGAAAAATGAATTATAAAATACATAATGCTATAGTACATATAATTGATGAGAAAAAAACAAGAGTATATATGTTAAGATATAAAATAATAAGAAAAAAACAGGAGTATATATGTTAAGATATAAAATAATATTCATCCAATAAAAATTATAAAAATATATATAAATATATTTTTTAAATATTAATAATTCATATTTCTTGAATTTTGTAAATAATTAGCAAAATTATTGTATTAAATTCATCATTGTGCTCACCTGTATGTTTTTGGCAATCGTGCCATGCTTTGATAAGTCAGAGGTCCACGATAATCACAGGATTCCAAATCTTCATATAAACTATTAATTGTGCACGTATAATTATGATTAATAGCCTTGCCTTCGCAAAGTTCTTGAAGCGCCGACAGCATAGCGACAACGCAAGAAACGCTTGCGTGCAATATAGTCAATCCACCCGTTGTTGATTCCTCGATCGAGTCCATGGCCCTAAAAATATTATATAAAAATTAAGAAAAAGTTTTGTTATCGAAATTAAACCAAATTTTATTTACATTTAATTTGCCGGGCATCAAAATTTGAGTTGTGAGAAATACTCACAGTCTCATCAGTGCCATATCACTTTGTATATGGCTCGATCGATCTTCTTCCACCAGCAATGGTCCAGCAAAATCAACCATGCGACTAGGACTGCGCAGTAATTCCTTCAACGCTTTTAAGGGTTCTAAACGCTGCTGCGGCGGTGGATACAATAGCATTCTATGGAACACTGATTCCAAAACTGGTCGCAATGGACCAACACATCCTACCAATCTGACTAATTCCGTACCAATGCTGAAAAAAACATTTTTTGCATAATATTATGTAATTCATAAAATATTAAATATTTACATGGAAAAAAACATTATAAAGTAATGTCATAATTAATATATTTAAAAAAATTTACTTTGTATGTGTAAATTTATGACACTAATATAGTTATATTTTGATTCTGATATTGTAATCTTACCTATAAACAGTTTTAGCTTGATGACTATCAAAACTCAATGATGTGGCCAAGTATCCGGAACCTCTGCCAATCTCGTTCTCTTTTCCTTCCCGGGAAGTAAAGGTCTTATCTACTCGAGGAGTGCCCAGAAAGGCTATCAAGGCTGGACAAAACTTTTGCCATAGAAAAGTCGTAAAGTGTGCGTTAGTATGAATCTTTTGCGGTAGCGACGATATAAGCGTGTGTAAGCATTCCAGTAGGAAGACCACGGTGCTGCCGTTTCTGCCGTTGCTGGAACAGGATTTCCTGAATATTACTATAGTATTAAATGTAACGGTTATCAGATTATGAATTTTTTAAGGTGCATTTTTACTTTTGAGCCTCGTCCAACTTGCTGCAGATGTATTGCAGAATCGGCAAAGCCTCGTTGAAACATGAAACACCCCGTTCACGCACATTTTTATTTCGCTTAGCATTTTCATCCATCTCTTGACACTCCTCGTCTGCAAATAGATATAATAATGCGTCATTGTAGATGTTGAAATGTCGTACCAACGATGCATTCATGAATATAAACGGTATAGCTGATTATTTGGATGTTCCGCCGATGGCACTCTTCGACCCGCATTCTGCCGGCACGCGATCTTGTAACTTATCGACCAAACATTCTGACATTTATATTTGAAAGCACTACAGAAACATTCTGACATTTAGACTTGAAAGCGCTATTATTGTCGTCTAAGATAAAATGCATCGCTGGCGATAGTGCATCAATATCTTTCATTTTTTTTTTTTCATTTAAATTACCTAAAAAAAGACAAAATGATCGCAATGTTTGACTAGTTGCAGCCTGTGCAGCTGTACGCACAGCTTGATTGCCATTCTCAAATGCCTCGCAACAAGTAGTCAATATCGCAATGATTAAACGGCCATTCATAGTCCAATAAGGGGAGCAAGCAACTTGGAGTAAGACCTGAAAAAGAATTGCCCGTAATTAAATTTATGTGACTTTAAGTAAAGAAATGTTATACTTTTTAAAATTCTAATTATTTTTTAGTTTTGTTTACTATTATGATTTTAATCTTTATTCTTAAAGTATTTTTACGATAATTGTGAAGCTTACTTTAAGCATATCTGTTTGGGTGTCATCAGATTGTGAAACGATGGAACTCATGGCATGCAACATTTGCGCAGGCAACCATAAAGAGTCATCTTCTGGCTCGTACGGCGATTGAAATCTGTCGTCTCTTAACATCTTCTACAAATTTTGTGAATTGAATCGTTATATATTTATAAAATAATTAATAATTATCAATAAAAATATACTAATTAAAAATTAAGTTCACTAAATAGAGTCTCCTAATTAATTGCAATAATTCGTTTATTTAAAATAATTTTTATTACAAAATTTCTAAAAACCGTGAAAAAAAACTTCTTATATTCTGAAAACTTCTTATATTCGAAGCTAATTAAAAGTCATCTGCCATAAAGACGTTTCGCTTAAACTGTCACAGCTGTTCGTCCGTATCTGTCGCTTTATCGCACACAGTTCCGGAACATACGTTTCCACAAGTGGTTACATCAACTCTGACCACCATATGCAGGAAAAAAAAAATAATCTACAAATAAAACTTTAAATATACAGAAATATGTTTTTGCCAAGTATTTTTAATCTGTATTCATAGTCTTGTGCAAAAAGTTGTGTAAAGTTTGTGTAAAGTTATTTTTTTCGAGCAAAAAATATTTTTATTAATAGAATTATCTTCATCGTGCCACTTACGTGCAGTCCCGCAAGTCCAAAGGCAACAAACTTGCTTCTGTTGCTTTCCAGTGCTAGCTGAAACGTATGTAAGCATTTTGCGCGCAATTCGTGCGGCGGATCTCGTAATAAGCCCTGCTGCTTCTCCAGAAAATCTGCGGAAAAAAATTATCCTTTTGTTACAGAAGAAAAAGAAAAGAATTAAGAAAACAAACCCAAATGGCCCGTGAGAAGTATTTTTGTCATAATAACAATTACATTAATATCACGTCATTGTAATAATAATTTTTCGAATTGTAATTGACACAAGAAAGTAACTTTGCATTATGGACCACTTAGACATAATCGGGATTAAATAAGAAGTATAATCATAATATGTGTACGCGATTGAACTTGTCGCAAGAAATGGCCAGTTGGAGGTCTGTTTGATGTTCTCCGGAATGAGAAAATCTCGAAGAGCGCGAAAGACATTTAATAAAAAAAAAAAAAAAAATCGAAAAGCATGGTACGCTCACCGTGCGCTTCCTGCGCCGATTTTCGCAAATTCTGTAATCTCGCATTGTTCGACTCCCTGATGATCTGCAGCAGGAGATCCTCCATGACACGACGGGCTACCACCGTTACCACGCGACTGATCGATAATGGGAGGGAGTGCCGATGCCGTCGTCATGTTCGCTGTAT